CCTGGCCTCCGGCTGCAGGCTCCCTGCTGCAGGAGCTGAGTGGCAAAGGCAAGAGGGGCTGGGGGGCTGGGCAGCAGGAAGCGGAAGCAGCAGGGCAGACCCGGCCCTCACCTATTCACGTTCTGGGCAGCCTATGTAGAAGGGGCCTGACCTGGCTGTGGGGGGAGGCAGGGACGGTCCCCTGAGGAAGCTGAGGCATGGGTTAAGGAGGTGGCAGCTTGTACACAGGCACAGCAGAGGTGGTACAGCCCAGAAAAGTGTCCTGCAAGGGGGGCATGGTGAGAGGCAAGGCCAGCAGGGCCGAGCCCGTTGGGGCCAGCTAGGGCGGGTGGGGACACCCAGGCTGCAGGGCAGGCAGGAAGGTGCAAGCTGAGGACCGTGAAGGTGAGGCCCGCACAGGACGGGGCCTGGCTTACAGCTCCACCACCCCTCCACAGCAAGGAGCCCAAAGAAATCCCCTGGAAGGCCGTTGGGAGCCCCTTTGTGGTGGAGTCCACAGGCGTGTACCTCTCCTTAGAGGCGGCTTCAGTGAGTGAGAGGCGCCAGGGCTGGCGAGGGGGAGGGGCCGTGGCACCGGAAGGCCTCCTAACACCTGTGCCCCCCCAGGCCCACATCACGGCAGGTGCCCGGCGTGTGGTCATCAGCGCACCCTCACCAGATGCGCCCATGTTCGTCATGGGTGTGAACGAGAAGGCGTATGACCCTGGCACCATGAAAATCGTCAGGTAACAGCAGGGGGAATGGTGGGGACACAGGGCAGCATTCTGAAGTGTGTGGATGGTGCCCGGGGGACACACAGCCTGTGGTGGGGGATCAGACTCTCCCCCCGACCTCTCCACCTCCACTCCCACGCTTCCTTCACAAGGATCTGCTTGTCTCCCCTGAAGTCGGCACAGAGCTCACGTAAATGTTATCCTAAGACTGTTAGAAATGCAAGACTTTAGGAGAACATGCTTGAGGGAGCTTCCCCCAGCTGCACCTCTGTGCCACCGTCATTCTGACGGCACCCCCACGACCCATGTCATCCCCAACCTGACTTTCCACAAGAGAGGGGAAGGGTGGAGGGCGGCTCTGCATCCCGCCTCACGATGCCCTTGCCCGCTTGGGCCACTGCAGCAATGCATCCTGCACCACCAACTGCCTGGCCCCCCTGGCCAAGGTCGTCCACGAGCAGTTTGGGATCGTGGAAGGACTGATGGTGAGCGAGGACAGGGGGCTGGGCAGGAGGGACGGGAGGGAAACCCAGCTTCTTCTTCCCCGGGACTGACTCGGCTATAGCGTCAGCAGGAAAAGGCTGGTTGCGGGAGGAGAGGCCCACGGGCGGTGATGTCTTGAAAATACTGTGCAGCTCTCAGGCAAGGCTGACCCTGGGGTGCACGTGCCCCTCCTGTAGTCTGTGGTGACAGCCCCACTAGTCTCCACACCTGAGCCGCTGCCCCAGGCCTGAGAGAAAGGCTGGGAGCTCCGGAGCAGGAAGGAGGCCTCACCCCCGCCCTCTTCTTCCCAAGACCACGGTCCACTCCTACACAGCGACCCAGAAGACCGTGGACGGGCCGTCAAAGAAGGCCTGGCGGGATGGGCGGGGCGCCCACCAGAACATCATCCCTGCCTCCACGGGGGCTGCCAAGGCCGTAGGCAAAGTCATCCCAGAGCTCAAAGGGTATGAGGGCAGGGGGGCAGAGAGCTGCAGCTAGGGTGGAGGGCATACCCCAGGAGGACGGGGCGTTTGTTGAAGGGAAAGCAGGGGCCTGGCCACACCCCAGGGCAAGGGGGGTGGAGGGAGAAGACGCGGGGTTCTGACTCCCATCCTTGACGTGAGTCTCCAGGAAGCTGACGGGAATGGCGTTCCGAGTGCCCACCCCGGACGTGTCCGTCGTGGACCTGACCTGCCGCCTGGCCCGGCCTGCCACATACTCGGACATCAAGAATGCCATAAAAGTGGCTGCCAAGGGCCCCATGGCTGGCATCCTTGCCTACACCGAGGATGAGGTAGGGGCTGACAAGGGACCTGGGAGGATCCCTCTGTGGGAGGGGGCGTGACTTCCACTTGCCAGGGAGCTGCTCAAAGCGTCAAGACTGGAGCTCAGGCTGGGGAGGACAGAGCTCTGCCTCAGGGCCTTTGCACCTGATGCTTCTTTGGTCTGGAAAGCTCTTCGCCCTCGTGGCCACATGGTCTCCCCTCATTTCTTTCAAGTATTACAACCCACCTCCTCAGCAAGGCCCCCCTCGGAACACCGTTCTTTTGGCGGTTCCTTGCCTCACCTGAAATCCCAGTCACTGTCGGCCCCACTCGAGTGTGCACTACCCCACAGAAGCAGGGATCTAGGGACTATCTTCTCGTCTCCCTAGCCCAGGCCTGGAGCCCTGGTGGCACAGTGGTTAAGACCTCGGCTGCTAACCAAAAAGTAGCAGTTCAAATCCACCAGCCCGTTCCTTGGAAATCCTGTAGGGCACTTCTACTTTGTACTGTAGGGTCATTATGAGACAGAATCAACTCAACAACAATGGGTTTGGTTTGGTTTTCATTTTTTAGGCCAGGCTGGGCACACAGCAGGCACTCAGTATACACTAAAGAAGGACAGCAGCCTGGCGCACAGCAGGCACTCGGTATACACTAAGTGAATGAAGGACAACGGCCTGGCACACAGCAGGCACTCGGTATACACTAAGTGAATGAAGGACAAC